TGTTCAGCCGCTGCGCGTGTTCAAACCCCTTATGGGAGGGGAAGTACACAGATGGGCGGGTGTAGGAGCCTGGGCAAGAACTTTTTGGGCTCCAGCCCCATGGTGGCACTTAAGGGTGGGTGCCTGCAACTCCCAAAGCCTCAGTGGATGTCCTATAGTGCTCTTTTAGTTCTGCCATCTGCAGACGACTTAAGTGTTAACCAGCTCAGTGCCCTCTTAGTATCCAGGTTCTTGTCCAACATTCAGGAAAAATCAGGTCACACACATGGACTTGAAGGATGGCGAATGCGGAGGTTTTATTGAGTGGTGGAGGTGGCTCTCAGAGAGATGAACGGGGAGCTGGAAAAGGGATGGAGTGGGAAGATGATCTTCCCCTGAAGTTTGGCCATCCAGCGGCTGATCTCCTCTCTGACTATCCACAGCCACGCTTCTCTTGAATTCAGACATTCCTTCCCTTCTCTCCTTCTCTGCTGCACCAATCTGCAGCTCTTCTGCCTTTCTGTTTGTCTGCTTGTTTCCTCGTGGAGTCTGGAGTTTGGGATTTATACAGATACATGGCGGGCCAAAAGGCAACATTTGGGCATGAAAACAGGAATGTCTATTCCTATTTAGGGCCGTGTGGGTTTCCAGGCTTGGGATTGGGACCTTTACTGGGAAATTGCCCTCTTCTACCCTGTATTTCCCTATTTCCTGTCTGTGTCATCTGCATCTTAACATGAATGTCTTCCCTCTTCTAATAAAACATCAATCATATTGGGTTAAGGGCCCGCTGTGCTCCAGTATGTCCTCATCTTAATGCAGCTAATAGAATCTTTAATGACCCTTTGTATAAATAAGTTCACAATATGAGGTACAGAGGCTTAGGACTTTAAATTATCTTTTTATTGGAGAAATGATTCAACATACAGCATAATTAATAGCACATTAATTTTCCCAAATGAAATATAATATTCTACTAAGATTGGTCTATTTTTAGTCCTTCTTATTCTGTTTTAAAAGAACTGAAAAAATTCTGACTTTATAACACACTAAAAATAATTATTAAAATATGTACCTGAGAGTTAAACTCGTCTTGTTTTTATCTTAAGATAAAGGCAGAAATGTGTCAACATTCTAAAAGACTGTTTTCATTGCCCATTCAGCAAACTGTATCTGTAAGCTTTCTTTCTTTCCTAGAAATGGCATTGAGCATTGAATGGGCCAAAAAAAAAACACAAGAGTTGGACACTTTACAACCAAATTGTACTTGGCAAAGGAAAGAACTTCAATAGGCTTTTTAGAAAGATCTTGCATGTAGAATCATATCCATAGTATACAGTCAGTAAAGCTGTCAAAGTCACAAATAAAAATCCAGTTGTAATAGATTAAAAAGTTTATATTTCTTAAATATTTTAAAAATTGATTTCTAAATAAAGCAATCCAAAATATCGCACAAAAATCTTCCAACATTTATAAAATAACAGCAGATTGTTTCACCTTCTTGGTCTTTATGCATTGTATTTGACCATTCTTTCTCTGTCTTTTACAGGGGCTATGAAATAAAAGATCTTCTATTTCTCATTCTCTGTTTCCCAAAACAGCTTTATTTGTGTGAGAACCAGTAAAGATTTGGGCAAACCTTCTTTTTCATGAAACTAGTAAGAATTTTGACAGTCTGGCTGCTAGCCTGAATTTTGTGGCACAACTGTACTTATAAAGATAAAATTTCAATTACATAAATCACCTTGGCAATGTCTTTTTAAAAAAGAACAGTTTATCCCCGTCATATTTCAGTAATATTCTTATGAATTAGATCTATGCTACCAAAACCAAATCAAAAGCTACATTACATGCCATATTGTAAAAGAGCAGGCTTTATAAGAGATTTGAGTTTCCTCAAATGAAAGAACAGGCTACCTTACTAATTATGTTAAGGATCTAGAAAACAAGAAAACATTCTTGACTCTATCTTGCTTACTTCCCTAACACTATAATGAAAGACTAGAACAGTAAATAAGCACCTTAAGTACAAACAATAAATAGGATCAACTGTAAAATCACAAGTTCACTATAAGCCATCATTCCTTTTCTAAACAGGTTTTTTCTCTACATCTTATGTCAGCAATTAACAATGTATTGTCTTCTTGAGAGCTGTAATATGATTTTGTTTTCTACCAATTTCCTTTGTAATGTCCTATAGGGAAAGGTATCTTTCAAATTCAAATCCCCAGCATAGCTCTTGGCATATATTAGATGTTCAACAAATGTCTGCAGTGTGCTATGCTGAATGTTGAATGTTCTTGTCCCCAGACCCCAAATTCATTTGTTGAAACATTAAGCCTGAATATGATGGTATTTGAAGGTGGGGCCTTTAGGAAAAATTTAGCCCATGAAAGGGGAGCCCTCATGCATGAGATTAGTGCCTTTATAAGAAGAGACATGAAAGACATAATCTTTTTCTCTTTCTCTCATGTGAGGATACAGCAAGAAGGTGACTGGCTGTCTTCAAACCAGAAATAGAACTCTCACCACACACTGAATCTGCTGGCACCTTGATCTTGGACTTCCCAGGCTCCAAAACTGTAAGAAATAAATGTTTGTTGTTTAAGTCACCCAGGCTATGATCATTTGTTATGGCAGCCAGAGCTAACTAAAGCATGGTATAAATGAGAAACCAAAGAAATTAAAAGGGAGAAAACAACAGCCAGTGATGGAGCTTTTACGGTGGTGACCAAAGCAGGCACCATCATCCACACAGGTCAAGTTTCCTGTAGCTGCCTTATTGATCCTTGCTCTATACCAGTGTCTACATATTGACAAACAGTATCTGTGTCAGAGAGGATATCCCTTACAATATCAGAGATTTTTTGCAAGTATTGAAGGTGATTTCAAAGCACATTCCTCAAATTTTCAAAATCTATTTAGAAATTATCAGGTTCTCTTCAAAGAAAGCAAATTAAGGTACAGTGGTCTCCTCTGGCATGAGACCTTTATAATTCTGTACTTTCTCTGACTAGTACTGAAACTGTCATGTTTAGTAATATCTCCTTCTGCATCATGAACCATGCACACAAGACCCTAGGCTTTCCATTTTGTGGAGTGTTGTTTTTTTTTTTTCTTTTATAATCCTTGACTTCAGACTAATTCACATTCTGTCCACTCATGTTGCTGCAGGAGTGCCTTCCCTGCTACTAGCTGATGACTTTTCTGTTAGTTGACCCTGCAGAAACAGTTTACTGCCTTTTTGCTACAAAGCAGGACAGGATAATATATCTCAGTCAAAATATCTCATTTCTCTCTGCTGAGTGTATCTGAAAATTCATGTTTCCATCAATACCTGCTGAAACACCCACTTGGTGAAATACTGAAGATGTCCTTACTGAGAAGACATTTGTGGCTACAACTATGCCCTCCCTTTCTCATGTATAGATCATTGGGGAGGGTTTCAAGGCCAAGGAAATTCAGGCTTCCCAAATGTATCCTAATGAGGTCATCTTTGACATGTCCTCCAAAAAACTCCCATGGATTGCTTCTGAATTGTTGCACTAACCAAATCAATCATTTGCTACTAACTTCCATAGCTGCAACTTAAACATGTAAGGTAGTGTTTTTAATGATAATAAAGCTTAGAAATTAGGTAATCAGACTAAGTCAACTTTAACATGCGTACTATATCGTTTTCCCTCAAGCTTTGATACCAAATATCTTTATTTCATGCCAGGAGATAAAATCAAAACATAAAGGGAAAGTACTCTTATTATTTTTCATCTATGCATCATTTCCTTTAATTGTGCGTTGTGTTTTTTTAAAGTGGTAACTTCACTTTTGATCTTATATTCTCAGGAAATATCATTTTGACATTTTAAGGAAGTATTCAGGTGACTTTACTAATTGTTGTTCTTTTTCTCCTTTAAAGTATGGAATTGTTTAAAGTCAATTATTCCTCTTTATAACTTGAAATAAAAAATTATGATGCATGAAACATTCTTGGTTTTCAATATAAAAGTCAATTTCCATAAAAGTCCCTGTAAGAAAATACTTAGTGTTATACCATAGTTTAACAAAATATATTTAAATAATAATTCAGTTAAATCTGTTTTTAGCTTAAAGGATACTTTTTTTTTTCTTGAAATACAGCTACCTTTTAACCACTTTAGTAGTAGCCATTGAAAAAGAAAGTAACACAATATTTTGAAAAAGTATAATTACTTACATCCAATCTTTAAGAACAACAAAATCTTGGTGCTAAAGCAAAATAGTTCAATATTCACTCTATGATATCTCTTGCTAAGAGATTTCTTTCCAAGATTTGCCAATGCCTAAAAATCCTGAGTTCAAATGATCCTATGGAGAAACAATTTTATATCAAATTATTTTAATGAGCAGTATTTACTATTTGATCTTCAGTTATATCCCTTCTGCAACTATGACAGAGATCCATAATTGAAAAACAAAAGAGCCCTAATGTGTGAGTTCACATTGTAAATCGGAACTTCTCTATACAAAGCATGACAGTCTTAGCCAAAATGATTCCAGAATTTTTAAATGAGCACATAGTTCAAAGAATGGCAGAGAATGCCCAGTTCTCTGCAGCTTGAACTCCTCACTGCTGCTCAGTATAATGCAAATAAATGGTCTACCTCAGGGCGGCTTCAGAGGCTGACTATAGCTGGAGAGAGGGTTAATAATCGTAAGAACAACAAGGATCTGGACTGAGTTCTTACCGATTATCCTTAGTTTTCCTAATAACCTAATGAAGCAGATGTCACTTTATTTTAGGAATGCGGAAACTACATTTTGAAAAATGAAAGTAATGGTTCAAAATTATCCAGGTAGCAAGTGCACAAGTTATCATTTGATTGTAGAGTTCATGTTCATAAAATATCTCATATTATTCTAGCTCAACTTTGAAGGAATAGGCTGCTGTGGGCTTGAAACTTAACTGGAAAAACTTAGTTAGTTGGCTTGGTTCTGAGAAATATGATTCTGCCTTTTTCCTTAGTCTTCCTTCAACAGCTTACCTTGTCTTGTCCCAGTCTCGACATTCTGCATAGAGCCAAGTGAGTTAAAGAGACTTCCTTGAGGTTTCCTCACTTCCTGCCTCTCAGCACATGTTAAAGTCACTTCCTTAACGCCCTCAGTGTTCTCCCTTTCTGTTCCATTTCTTTGTGTTAGAACAGTAGGAGAGCACATGCTTGGTGGTACTCAGATTTTTTTTCTGAACCCACATTACTCAAATACTGTTTTCTGACTTCTCAGATGGACTTATTCTAAGACCCACAACTAAGTCTTCTGAACTCCACTCATTCTCACTGGCCAAACTGGAAAGTGAAATGTCATAATCACTTATGAGAGCAAATAATAACTGACTGTTATAATTAATTTTCATGTGTAATAATACAATGGCTACTGAAAAGATAACAGAAAGGTAGTAGTGATTATTATACAATAGCAAAAAGAAAGACTATTACCATTATTCAGGTCCTCATTATGTAGCCCATGAGATGTAAATCATCTCCTGTATTATCACCCTGATGAAAATATTTTATCTATTGAATAATTTAAAAAATAGTTATTGAGTCCCTTCTTCTTGTCAGGGACTGTTCTGGGTGCCAGGGATATATAAAAGAACAAGATTTGCCTTCTAGTATTTCACATTTCATTTGGTATGGAAAGGGGACTGAGGAGTAGCAATTATACATAAATAAGTAAACAAAAAATGGATAATAAGTTCTATTGTTCAATTAAAATTTAATTTCAAAGACATTACAGAGAATGACTAGTTCTGAAAAGATCTTTCTGGTAAAGTCAGATCTCAGCTTATTTCTGAGTGACAAAAAGAAGCTAGTTAAACAAACACTATTGCCATCCCTATACCATTTGTACAATTGGATCTTTATCAAGAATATTAGTGAGTCAGCAAAAGTTTTTAATGAGTATCTTAAAATTTATGTGAAATATCTCTGTAAATGAAACTTCCTGTGGGAATTTCATGGAAGATGTCACCAAACCTACCTTCTTCTTAACTGTGATGAACTAGAGTTCTTCTTCCAAATTGGGGTGATATTGACTATAGATTATCCCTTTCTGTGTGTGTAGGCATGGGACAGGGGGCGGGCAGATATAGTTATTAATGAAATAATGTGATAAACGCATCAAAAAAGAATATACGTGCCAATTTATGGTACTTTTAAAACCATGTCACTTAAGACTATATACTTGTAGAAACGCCTCTGCTGTTTAATTTGAGAGAAGTACCTACTTCCAAATTTTGACCATTCTCAGTCTTCTTACTCTTGGTGCATTTAGACTATATCTGCCAAATTCAAAGACATGATATAGGCCATAAATGCTGAGGTGTAGATAATAAAATTTATTCCTCATAAACAAACTCTGATTATCTTAGATTTTATAAAATTAAAATATTGATAGTGACTTTTATTTTGTTATTCTTAAAATAATAATAACTACAATCACCCTGACCTTCCGCTCTGGGGCACTTTTTGATCAGAGTGCAAGGAGGAGAGCCCAAACAAAGCATGCATCCTGGCTGAGAAAAGAAGACAAAAATTAGTGTGTTGGGGTACAGATGCCACTAGGATTTATTAGGTAGACTAGCAGAGAAAAGAGAGCTATACAGAAATCTACAGAGCACTTCAGAAAAGTGAGCTATACAGAAATCTACAGAGCATTTTAGAAATCTACAGAGCACTTCAGAAAAGTGAGCTATACAGAAATCTACAGAGCACTTCAGTTTGAGTCTGTTGCTAGATATTAATCGGCATATGCGTGGAGTGAAACTCCATTAGAAAGGACAAAGAATTACCAGGGATCTGCAATCTGATCAAATCCCAGAATTTAAACAGGACAATGATGTGTGAGTTCTGACCAGCCAGACTGGAGTGATTTTATTGATTATCAAGGTTATTCAGTAGAAATTCCAGAAGCATAACATCTTTGTTGTAATACCTAGCCTGAAAGGATTTTTTAGCTCCACTTTAATAAAGCTTAAAAACAAGCTTTAAAATAATCAAGGTAATCGAGCAATTTACCTAAATCAAATTTAACATTCTTTGAAGAAAGAAAATAAAACGCAGACACTCAACAATTTAACATATACAATGTTCAGAAGTGAATAAAAATTTCTAGATATTCCAAGAAACAGAAAATATGATTCATAACCTGGAGAAAAATTAGTCAATAAAACATTCCCAGAAATGATAAGAATGATGATACTATCAGATAAGAACAGGCAAACTGCCAAGAATATTAAAGAAAGACAAAATGAGAAGTGAAATGGACATAATAAGAAATGAAATGGAATTTGTTTTAAAAAATAAAATGGGGAACCAAATGTAATTTCTAAAGGAGAATCTGAAATGCAAATTTTACTGAATGGGATTAACAGAAGTTTAAAGGCCAAGAAAAGATCAATGAACTTCCAATCAAGCAATAAAAACTAGACAAATTGGAGCACCCAAGAGAAAAACATCCAAAGAAAAGTTTAATAGAGTCTTCGTAATGTGACCTGTGGGACAAGAACATACAGAAGATTGGAATCCAATGATGTGTAGTCAAAAAAATAATTTCTAAAGAGGGAATAGACAAAAATTTTCTTTAAAAAATAAGCTGTAAAAATACCCGATACAATCAAGATTAATGAACTCAAGTAAGATAAAGACAAAGGAAACCACTCTAAGACATATCTTATCAGATTTCTGAAAACTAGTAATATAAATAAATAAATAAATAAATGTCAGCCAAAGGAAAAAAATACACAGTATATACAAGGGAATACTTTTAAGAATAACTACAGACATTTAGCTTTTAAAAAGTGGAAGTAATGTGGTTGAAATTGAAGAAGAAAACATCCTAAGCAAAAGAAACCGGACACAAAGAAACATACTTCTATTTTTACGTAAATCAAATTTTAAAATGGGCAAAAGTAAATTTAAAAAGACCAATGTTAGCCCCTGAAGTGGGACAATTCAAAGTAATGATTCAGAAAGAAATTTTTTGACATATGAAAGGAAAATCAATCTTGGGACCCCAAAGTCACTAAGCCAAAGAGAAAAGTCAAGGTGAAAGCTGGGTTGTGCAAACCTGCCTCCCATTTGGTTCCTAAATAATATGACTACAAAGGTAAAAAGCTACATATATCCCTCACAACTTTCCCACAAGGAAATTCTTTGTGGGCCCCAACATCCTTATCCTAAAGCATTTCTGTGAATTTGACCCTGGCAATGTAAATTGATAGTTTATCTTCACAAGGGCGGGACAAAGGATAGAGCTCAAAGTCGTCCCCCTGCTCACTTGAGACAAATGAGTATCTGACTGCTTCCTCTGCCATATTATCTACGTTATCTTATGTAAAATTGCCAATTCACTGAGCCAGATGAAGGCATGAGTGATGATTTTCTTTACTGTCCTCTCTCATGAAAATTGTATATTTAGTGAAAGACTGATCAAAGACTCCAGAGGATGCGATTGTTTTGTCTTTTTATCTACTGGCACATTTCAAAAATATTTCTGTTCCCTCAGTATCCACCATTTACCCTTTAAATACTGAAGTCCTCAAGATCATCTTTGGAGAAAGGCATAGACCTGCCTCCTGGGTGTGTGACTTTAACTTTGGCAAATAAACCTCCTCAAGTGATTAAGACTTGCTTTGGTGATTTTCTTGGATTTACAGAGATAACATCAATGTTACCCATCTGGTTGTGATTATATGGTTTATATATTTATCATAAAATATCAACGTGTACACTTAAAATGGGTTTATTTTATTGTATATAAATTTTTACTCAATAAAGTTGATTTCAAAAACAAAAACAGAATTGAGGTCATAAAAGGTGAAGATGTAAAAGTGTTCCTGACATGAAGAGATTACCACAATTGGGCACTTAATTTGCTTATAATTCTTTAGGAACTTAGGGCGAAGAGAAACACATTGTTTTATATATATATATGTATATATATATTTTTTGATTAACAACAGAAATCAAGGATATTCATTTACTGAGATATAATTTTTCTTAATAAGTTAATCTTGGCAAAGAAGGTGATGTTTATGTAAAAGAAGGGCTAATGCTTTCAACTCTAGTTTTAGCAAAGATACAAATGCTGTTCAAATAAATAATGCACGTTATCTTTACAAAAAGTAAAAGCTTTTTTTGCAGCAGTTGAGACAACATGGCTCAGGTACTCTTTGGCTTCTACACATCTACTCTAATACATTAATGGAGCTTTACGATCTAGGAGAATGCATAGTTAACACAGTCATTAGAGTAGCTCTTAAATATCTGATTTCTCAAATGAAGGTTAGAGAAAATCTAGATTATAATTAATTTATATATGAATATTCTGAGAAGAGCTTTTAGTACATATATTCTAAATTGTTGAATAAAGAAAAAACTATGCACTTCAAATACCAGATATTTGTTAGACAAAGTTGCATTCTTCTGTCTAACTTTAAAAGCAAAACTTGTATTTTCACCCAAAAAGAAGGCTATCACCCTTTGACACAAATGTAGAAAGTAAAAGTCATTTGGTACCGAATTGTTTTTTCTCTCTGAAAAAGAAAAAAGTTTTGGATCGTCTCAGTGGTTAAACCCATAATTGATAAATATTCCAGTGCTCTTTATTATGTAATTGGAACAGAAAACTATGTTTTCATTGGTTGTCATTTTTCTGTGCTCTTAGTCTTTCTAAAATTATTTTTCATTTTATTTTATGTATTAATAATTGGTTAATATTATTATTGATGAACAAATCATCACATATGTTGATAAAATACAGTGTGATGTTTTGATATATGTGTACAACGTGGAATGATCAAATAAAGCTAACAAACATATTCGTCACCTCACATACCTGTCATTTCTTTTTGGTGAGACATTTGAATTTACTCTGTTATGTTGAAATATGCAATATATTATTATTAACTATGTAAAATTTATCATACCTTTAAAAAAATAAGCTGAGGTGTAGATGCTGGCCAAGATGAAGTAATTTTACTATAACCTATCTCTCACTGATCATGTTAAAAACTCAGGACAAAATATAAAAAGTAACATCTGAAGACTTAGAGAAATAAGCAATAAAATGCAAATGGGGACAGAGAAGTAAAAATTTGAAGAATATCCTATTTGGATAATTTTTCCATTTCTTTCTCCTCTTCTGACTTCTATCTTGTACGTGAGGTATCTCTAGTCATAGAATTATGCAAGAGTTGTAGTCAGCAAAAACTCCAGGCAAAACCAGAGGACCAGAAAAAGGGATACCTGTGAGCTGGAGG